CATCTTTCTAGTATTAAAAACTTTATTACTGCTCTCTGATCCGCGTTGGACCCAGTTGAGCCACTCTAGCCATTTTTAAACGAAGGACACGTCCTTACAAATGCAATTATCACAAATCTGCTCGCACGCACGCATGCGTGGTACATATGCTTTACTACCGTTTTTGTTTCATGAAATTGCATTGAAAACTGTACGAATGCGGCATTTCGAATCACTTTCATTTGAACACGACTTCAGGCCGCGGTAGCCGAGTGATATAAATATCGGATCGTGGCTGGATTTGTCGCGAGTTCGAGCCCAGTACCATTAAAGACCCGCAGTGTAAGGCACTGATGCTCGCTAAATCTGTCGAGAGCTGAAACGTCCTCCCGTTTATGTGGTGTTGTGTGGTAGTTAGGAGAGGGGGTGCTAGCTCAGGTGTCTTCCACGTCACTTGATCATGGCTCAAAATTACGTGGTCCGTTGCCAAAAGCCCTCGTGTAGCTGAACAGTGCGATGTTAATATTCACGCATTCACTCATTCATTCGTTCATTGAACACGACTCCACAATTTGAAAATAATTATTTCATAATATATAATTTATTTTTAACTTTAAGTAAAATAAATATCTAAGCAAAAACAAAGAAAAATATCTTAACGTACAAAATTTTGAATTGTAGTACAGATAATGATATATGCTCATTGGCACAAGCATGGGGAAACATTACTTGAGAAATATACGGCAAAATCATTAAAAGAAGAAATAAACGTAAAGAACAGCATTTAATGTGCACAGATAATCAGAGAATCTGTGATGGCTACAACGACGGCTAAGTTACAGAGAAGCGCACAGATGAAACGTTCCTGAGCTTCAGGATAATTCTATTGAGTAATTCTTGTCAACCGACGTGACCACGTGGGTGATGGAGTCCGCACAGAAAAGACGGATATCCTCAGGATAAAGGTGATGAGAAGTAGGAGGGGGTGATGATGAAGGAGGAAAAGTTGAATTCCAATTGGTTCCAGGACCGGATGATCTCCTGGGTGTCACGAATGACAGCAGAATCCATCGGAAAAGAGGCAGGAAGTCAAAAGTTACTGAAAGAGGGAGGGTCATAGTAGCAAAAAAGTCATTTGTATTTTGTTGCATTTTATTCTTCATGAAAGCTCTTTATGCTAAAGAATTAGCTGTATACGTTTCACATATATGTATTGTTTCACTTTAAATGTATAGCTTTATAGTACAGAGAAAAACCCTTGAATGTTATTTATATATATTTAAAATCAAAATACATTGTGAAGCATTGTGTATCAATACATTCGTATCTTGATTATAAATATCTATAAATAAATAAAACTATTATGCTTTTCGATAACGATAAATAAATATGTTATAAATGGCATTTGAATTTAATCAGTGTCGTGATACCTAAAATAAATAGACCTTAGAAAGGTAAGAATTTATTGTACAGTTTCATACTGTCATAACAAATATCAAAAAAACTTAATTTCGAGTTTTAATTTTTAATGGTTGCTATTTAAGAAAATGTACAGAATCCATGACTTTGAAGGGAGTACGCGTAATATTTACTTAATATCTAACCAAAGAGATTTTAGGTGCAATATTTTTAAAAAAAATTATATAGTGTTCTTTAAATGCTATTCAAAATTTCAATACAAAGCTCATAAATGTGCTAGAACCAAAGTTCAAATAAAATTTCGGTATAATTTAAAATCCATTTTAAATACATTATTTAAATATTTTATATTTATAAGCATAGAGAAACGTTAAAAATATTTTGCCAACAATATATATCTAATTGTAATATCCAAAAATATATAAAAACTTTTATTTAATTATTGATAGTTTTAATTTTTGGGTTAAATACTTTTGAATATTTATTATTTATATGAAATCTGATTGTTAAACGTAATTCTTTTCAAATATATATATATATATATATACATCACATTGTATTAATTATCTTGTGCAGTAACATTAAAATAAAAGTGTAAGAAATTTTTTTTTATGCAGAGAATTTTATATTAGAATTTAAAAATAAATTAAGGACAGAGTAAGTTTTAAAAATGAATGGAAACCAGAGTTAAATATTTATCAGTAACATAAAATTTCAAGTAATTTATTATAAAATCTAATGTAATTATCTTTTTCAAAAATATCAGCACGTCATTTCTGAATGTAAATCAAATTATATAAATTAAAAACTGATGTACACTTAACTTTTTGCTGTTAATTGATTAATTTTTTCAACCTAAAGTACTTTTGTAATATTTTTTTTTTAAAAATTGACAAAGGTACATTTTTCGTTGAAAAATAATTACTCTATATGATTTATTATCATAAAAATAATTATTAGAAAAGTTTAACTTTCTTAAATCTTTTCTTGAAAAGTTTTACTCTTTTTTTAAAAAAATATTCATTAGAAATGATTTATTACTTAAAAAAATAAATAAATCGTTTGCCCTATTTTTTTAATGTTCACGTAATTATGACAAAATCAAAGGATTACCACATTAAAAATAAATATTTTACTTCAGCGAGATGATAAAAAATATATTTATACGGAATACTGCCTGCGCAATGTGAAAAAAAAAAATCATTCAAAATTTTAATTCGCAGTTATCGTGAAAATTATTTTCTTCGCAGTTGATAATTCATTTTAAATGTTATATGACATCCACATCCGGTAAAGTGGTTGGTGTCACTGACTGCGGTGCCGTAGGGCCTGTGGGTTTGAATCTCTGAGAAGACATGGATATTTGTAAATGTATAGTAATTACTATTTGTCCTCATTCAAAAATACATAACATTAAATAAGAACATTTGACCAAAGTAAAACTGAAAAGACATAAATAAACGTATTTTAAATGTCTATAAATATCGTATTCCGTCATTTAATACAAAGGAGAAAATTGATATCGGCATCTTAATAATATGTTGTTTAACTACAAAAATTACCAGTTTTACTTGAACAGCTTTCTTCCAAAAACAATTACTTTTTATTTAATTCTGTCTAATGAAACAATTCTGTCGGTTTAAATTAAATATTTAAAGAATAAAATGTACTATCATTGTGGGTGGATTAAAGTAGGAATAGAAAATTCATCTTCAGAATTTTAATTTGAAGTTTCATTTTCTGTAATTTGAGGGTAAGTAAACATTATTTTAAAATATTCGTAATGTTTCGGAACAAATAAATATTTCTGAATTATATTTTTAACCTGAAATTCACTATTTACTTAAGCTTTTATTTGTAATCGAATTTTTATTATAATAAGGGGTAATTAAATTTTCAGTATTCTGCGATAAAGACAATTCTTTTCCGAATATACAACTAAAGAACCTAAATATCACAAACATTCGAGTAGCTCTGATAGACAAAAATAGCAATTTCAATTTCTCCTTATTTGTTTCCTATAATTATGAAAAATTTACAAAACCGTATATTTCGGCATGTAACGTGCACCTATACTTTCAAACTGCAATCCTAAGCAGTGCCGACTTAAGCCTTGGGCACAGAAGATCTACAGGCTTTCTTCGCACTGGAGGATCGAAATTTATAACCAAAAAATATCATTAAGTCCAGCTTATCCAGGTCCCGACACCCTGGACGCTCGGCCCAAGAACCCAATTGATAAACTGGCACTATTACCAAGTGTATAGGCACCGAATGGTTGTAATTATAGTTACACTATTCAGAGGCCTGTAGAACTTGTTCTGCTCATCGGAATTTGATGAAACTTGGAATGTGTATTCTATATGGACCATGAGAAAAAGATTTCCGCAATTAAAAAAAAAATAGTGCAAATTTTAAACACTAGCTGAAATTTATCGAATATTTCTTATGCAAATCCATAAAACCTCCATATAAACTTGTAGTCATAACCAGAGAATTATTCAGCGCACGTTTGTCATCGTTAATCATTCCTGATTTACAGAAATGATAATGTTTGCAAATCACCATCTTTATGTAGGAGGGATACTCACATTGGGCCCCATGTCAAAGCACTGCTTAGTGCTAAATTTGGCGATAATCGTGATTATCCAGATATTTTCCGGATTCATGGTCTTCTCGCTCACCCGATTTAAATCCTTGGGATTCCTGGTAGTGGGGAGACCATGTATGTAGAGGAGAAATTAGAACTTTAGCTTATTTGAAAGCTGGGAAAAAGCGCCATGTCGCTGAAATCCCTCGTAAACTGCTTCGCCCTATCATTGTAAACGCTATATTGCGCTTTCAACACGTTATTCGTATCAATGAAGCACATATTGAGCCTATTCTGTAAATGAACAAATTTTAACGATTCTAACATATTGTTTGTCCTTCTTTAGTCAAAATTTGAACTATATTCATTATTATTGCAGAAACCTTTTCCCCATGGTCCATATAGCATATATTCCAAGTTCCAATGAAATCCGAAAAGCAGAACGGGTTCTACGGGTCCATGAATAGTGTAAATTTAATTGTAACCACCCAGTATATTCACCGCAAGCAATGGATTCCCTTTTTCACGAAGAAATCTAAAATGTACTCGTTAAGTCATTTATTCGAGGTATTATCTCAGGCTTTCGAAAAAATAATATATCTGCCATCGAGAAACGTACAAATCCTCATATTATTCGAAACAGCAGTCTGATGGACCAAAGGTATGTAAATGTGTTACTGCGACCTCATGCTACGTGCATAAAATAAATTTATGAAAAAGTAATATAAAAAAAAATAATCAATTCTTACTTAGGTCAACAAAGAAATAATTGTACTTTAGTTACTTTTTATTAAATAGTTACAATTAATATAAATATGTATATATACACATGATAGAATCACAATATTAAGTGGCAAAATAGAAAACGATTTTCCTTGCAATTTTCGTTTTTCCTTTCCATATAGGATATTGGGCTATTATTTTTGTTTGTTACTATTTATTCATTAATTAAATTCAATTTTTCTAATAAAATAGTATAGTAGAAAAGAAATTCCATTCTCAGAAATGATGCCATCCCAGGTGGATTTGAACCCACCACCTATGGATTAGAAGTCCATCAAGCTATCCATTGCGCTACAGAGACACAACGAATAATTTTCTTTTCTCTATATGTTGTTGGGCTATTTGATTTGTTTGTTTCTATTTTTTCATCTTTTAATTTAATTTAATGAGCTAATATTTTAAAAAAAACAGTATTAACTTTAAGTGTCACCCACTACAAGTAAAAAAAAATTGACTTGAATGGATGAATGGGAAGTATTATATTAACGATTTATATATAAAATTTGAACAATATATATATATAATATATATATATATATATAAGGAGAGTGAAATAATAGTAGGAATTGAATGAAAATATTATAAAACCATATAATTAGAATTATGTTTGTAAAAACAACAACTTCAATATAACTTTATGGATATTGCATCATAAATTTACGGTAAGTATTTGATGAACTCATGTTTTTTTTTTTTAAAAAATGCAAAATTGAAATAGCTAATTTTGCATAATAGTACGTTAGAAATAGATGTACAACTGCAAATTCTCTCAGATTATAAGCACAAAGTGAAATGAATATATATGTTCCTTGATTATAGTAAAAGTTTTTATGAATCTTAGAGCACTTCAGTTAAAAGTATCACGCACTTATCTTATATAGTTTCTGTTTTGTAAACATATACATTTTTAACGTTTTTTTTTTCTCATTTCCAGCAACTCATACTGAATTAAGAAATTTAATATTTATTCAATAGGTAGAAAGTACTTCCTAAATGTTTTTTAAAATCGTTAAGAAAGGGAACACAGATTGTAAATAATAATTCTTAACATTATCTAAAAAAAGCACTTATACATTTAATGCATTTTTCATAAGGTATGCGATCACGCAATTTAAAAAGTAATACTTTATAACAAATAAAAGTTGTAAAGAATAATATATATGAAGGTATCATCCATCCTTCGTGAAATTATGCGGGTTTTGTATTATTTAATGTTTTTTGCTTACATTTGAAATTCACTTATTTCATTCAAAAGAAAAACAGCATGCTCATTTCAGTATCTTTGTATTCAGAAAATGGAATTTAGCAGGATACATAATATATGGAACAGGATAATTTTGTCAACATTCCGCTAAGCTAAGCATATTTTACACGAATCTAATTTAGTTTGAGTTGGCCATGGATAATTCATTTCTCAGGGAGTACATTTGTTTTAATGTTTGTTAAAATGTTTTAAGATTTTTCTTAATATTAAAGCCCACATAATCTAGAAAAATTTCGTTCTTCGTTGATAAAAACAGTTTTTCGGTGAAATGTATTATAATAAATACACATATTATAAGACTCGTTTTGTCATTTATTTTCAATATTGCAATATTGAGAGATTATTTATCAATTAATAAAAGTATATTTATAATGCATTTCGATTCAACGGAACGTAAAATTATTGTCAAAATACATTAAAAATATAAGTATATAATTACATTCTTATAACATAATTCAGATAGATAGATAGATAGATATAAAATGTGGGATGGTGTTTAGGGTTAATGTTGAATTTTTTTGGACGGAAGAAAACATATTAGCCAAGTTTAACGAATAATTAATTTATTAAGATAAGAAAAATTAAGAAACAGGCTATTTACAGCTTTTAATTATTTACAAAAAAAATAAAAGAAATGTTCGAATAAAGAGGAGGGCTCACCTGTGAGATGGGGACGCCAGACATCATTAAGCCTAAAGAAGGGGTCTGCTTTATTTACCGAAACAAAGCCACTAGAGGGAGAGAGAGAGGAGGACGTCGACCTTAAGTGTTCATGTTCGGTGTAGAAGTCAAAAGTGATCTCGTGCTCAAGGACCATACGCGTCTACCGTCATCGCACCAAATTCTTTCATTGGATATGGAAATCATTCTCGATTCGATTCGGTTTGTTTGGCGTTGCCATCCCTAACAATCTCTCTCTCTCGAAATATGTAGAAAATTTAAAACATTTTAATTATTCGAAACTAATTAAATACTATTTCCTACATGGATATAAGTTTTTAAATAACCTTGGCTAACATTTATCGGACTATATTAAAAATGACTCTTTTCGGTCAAAATGTCCATTTTTTAATTTTTTTATCTTTGAGATTTGAATAATTACGTTTTTAAATCTGTCTTTTTGTTATTATGGAAGGGATAATTTTTTTAAAAAAATACTTGACTTTTTAATATTACTTTTGCTGATACTATTCTGTTATAAAATTTAAATGAGTTTTTCTTAAACCTATATTTTTGTAAAATAAAATACATACAAAGGGTGTTCAAGTGAAAGTGATTCGAGGTGTGTATCCATGAGATGCGTAGAGTCAGAAATGAGACATATACAAAGAAACAATAATATTTATTGAGTGAAATGCATGCAGTCATTTTAATGAAGAAATGCATGCAGAGTCACCCATGGAGTTTAGGCAGATGTCTGATTGCTTAGAAAGATTACGAATTCTGTCCGTGACAAACGATGTTGGTTGATCATGGAACTAGTTCAGAGCTGCAGCCTTTAAGCCATCGTCGGAATTATGTTGACCCATCAGACTGCTAAACTTTGAACTTTAGGGCTAATGTGAATCGGGATGTTTCCATTGCATATTGTGGAATTTCCGGCTGGAAGTGGTGACACCAGGTTTTATCCTATGCTATGCCACTATATGCTGCATAAAGTAGTCACAGTCATCCCTGTAACGCAACAAATGTTGTAAACTAAGGCCCATTCCGACTAAGACCTTTCTAGTGTAAGACTTTATTAGAGCTTACTGATCCGTTTTGGACGCATTTACTTTTATACCAGCAATTTTTAAATGAAAGCCACGTAGTTACGAATATAGTTATCACACACCAGTTTGGGCCCGCGTGTGCGTGGTACATAAGCGTTCATTATTGCGTTTGTTTCACTAAAATACATTGAACATTTTTCACATTCGAAGCTTTGAATCACTTTCATTTGAACACGCCTAATATATCTCAAATGTTATACATGAAGAAACATCAATCGAAATACTTACATGAAATTGCAAACAGATATATATTTTAATGTTATTCAATTTCGCAGCTCGTTCATTTGTTTGATAATTTTTAGGGGAATTGTAGTAGTTCCTTGGAAGTGTGACTAGCTAATCCTGATAGTTTAATACAATAATTATTATGATTCGAATGCCGGTGTTATATTAGAAGGAGTTGGCATGATACGGAAAAAACAAAAGTAATTGAGTAGAGAAATAATCAACTAACAATTTACTGAATTATTAAGGCTACACTAAAATGCACTTTTCTTCAAGCACGAAAATCATTGCTGGCTCTTCGACGCTAAATATGCTTCTCATTCTTATAAATGAATTGAATCTGAACCCCCAAAGGGAAAACTTGTCGAATGACTTCACAATGTAATTACTGTAATTAGCAAATAAAGGAAACGAGAACTTGCTGGCAGAATACATACTATCTGACCAATGGCGTAACGGAGAATATTAGGAGAATTGGGTCCCTACAAAGTGTCAGATTTTGGGCCCCAAACCAGACTTTGTTAGCTGCTGAACTTACAGGGTGTGTTTCTAATAAGACCCAATCATTTACCTTAATTTTTTATGTCTTTTCTACGTCTATTATAATATTTTTCCCACCTTTCCTGTTTAATTTTCGTACTTAGTCTAGCTTCCTTTAAAGTTTTTCTATATCTTGAATTTTGAATTTTGAACTTTCCGATATCATATAACTAGTTTTTGAAATGGTGTAATCAATTTTCGACCTAAAATAATTCAGCTTCTGGTGTTTTTCCCGTTGTTTCATTCACCGCCGTACGAATAGCGTAAGCAAAACTCACGTAAGAATTGATCCCAAGTATCGTGTTGATCATTAACATAATTTGCAATCATTTGCACTATATCTAGATTAACTCTTTCAGTCCGATTTGCTTGTGGTCGATATGCAACAAGTCTTCACATGCCTATGCCTAATCTTTCACTTTAAGTGCTCAAAAAAAATTTCTGGATATAAATTGGGGACCATTATCACTTATTAATTTTATTGGAGCTCCATAACGCGATATAAAAGTTATCAAAAATATCCGCTATTATACGAGATGAGGCCTTTGAGGTATAATTTCAGCCCATTTGCTGAAATGATCGGTTATTACTAAAAATATAGCGGTTATTGCCTTATTCTATATAGGATACGGGCTCAACAAATCTAACGTCACTATCTCATTCGGATAATTTGATATAATTGATTTAACCGACCAGCTGGTAAACGCGTTTTATAGTTATTAACTTGGCACATATGGCATGTAGAGACATATTGATCAATGAATTTTCTCATGTACGGGAAATAACAAACGTCCTGAATTTATGATACGTTTTAAATCTGCCTAAGTGTCCAGTAATTGGCTTGTCGCAAATACCCTTCCCATTATTTCATTCCTAAAGATTTTGGGAATGTATACAGCATTTCACCTAATGACGTTGCGTGTTTCGCATAAAATAATAATCCTTCAATTAAACGGAAATCGTGGGACCAATTCTCACATATCGTTGCATTGGACCGAGTTATCTTCCGGCTTTCTAAATATCTATATATATGACCCACTTCTGGGTCTTTTTCTGTTCCGTTATTAATTGTTCCCGCGAAGTAAGTACCAAACTTGATTATGGTACAATTAACTTTTTCTCCAATTGTACTTTCCACATGCTTTTTCGGTAAAACTGTAGCCACCATGTTTAACTTCATTTCTGACCCATTAACGTGTAATTTCCCTTTATTTACCTTATTATCTTCAACCAGTGAATTTTGAATTTTCAACGATTTCTGATCAAAATCTAATACGATTCTTGACGCTTTTATGAAATCGATACCTAGAATACATGGGTATTCTAAATCTTTCAACACATGAAATGACCAATTCCTTTCGAATTGTCTGATCCGAATATTCAATTCTACAACCCCCCTGTTTTGGCATTTCGCACCCTGTGCTGTTATTACCTGGGCTCGCGATTTTTTAATTTGCTTATAGAAAAATATTTTCTATATACTTCTTCCGATATAAATGA